GCTCAGAAATTGTAGAAGAACGTAGGCCTATGGGTACAGATCTAGACGGTCAGAGTGAAGAACGTATAGGTACAGAAACAGGGCTTTAAATAGACCGCGGCACCGCGGCAATTTGCCTTGGTGCCTTTGCAATTTGCCGCTATGCCCTTACAATCACAGGGTCAACCGCGGCCATTTTTGCCATGCCCTTGTTTTTAATTTTTTTTAATGTGACGCCATTAAAATCAATCAATATAATTTGTCTTGTGCTGTCACTTGTGGTGAAAAAAAGAAAAGAAAGTAATACAACGTACAAGCGTCTTGTCGGGTTCGCCATCGTGACCGGTCATTGAACCTACATCACAAGATACGGCATCGTGTGAGCACCGGTTGTTGGGGTCACCAAAGTTCATTCAAAGTCTGAACGCCACGAAGTATGGGACTCCGGAATAGGGGGAAATTATTGATTCTTTTTTTTTAAGATACACGTGAGGAAAGAGGGGGGGGGGGATATGAAGACATCCTGTCAGAGTTGTCTGAAATCTCATCAAAACTTCAGTCAGACACTGCTCAGCTTGACCATTGTGTCAATTTTGTCATGGCTAGTGCAAACACACTCACACCAATGATAACCAAACCTCAGTAAGCCAATCTTTTTCTTTATTGTGTGTGCCAAACATATTTTCAATATTTTGATCCAGTCATTAAGTCATATATGACATGCTGATTGTTTAGGTCTTTTTTATACAACATACTTTAAGACATATTTTCAAAACTTGTTTTCACTTATCATAGTCATAACCTCATACTGTTTAATAACAGTTCCATACCAGTTCATAAGTTGTTTTCACTCCTCATGTTCTTACATGCAAGTTCAAAATTTGTTTTCATTTTATCACTACACCACCTGAAAACCACTCTGTTTGAATCTCATTAATGATCAATGTCTTACCTAATTGGTCAAATCATTCACTGTTTTCTATTGTGCCCTATTTCCAACAGTCATACACATTATGCATTTTAATCCAATCAATGAGGGGTAGT